ATCATGCATGAGTTTGAAGAGTTCCTAGGAACACTCATAGGTGGCATCGTTAGAGAAGTCCAGTTGAGAATCAGAATAGGGGAGGAGGCAAGCAGTAGGATCGTAAGGATAGGAGAGCTAAGAGGAGGTGAAGAAAGGAAAATCTTGGTGGAATTGGGTGTGTGTGGACATATCTGTGTGGGATATAGTTATATTGAGGAGGGTGAGATTGACGAACCTTTCACAACAGGAGAAACTGTGGTGAGCATAGGAGACAGCAAAAGTAAGGCAACAGAAGGAGCAGCTGCTGCTTCTGGGACGAGCGATGCAATCATTTGTGGGAGGTCTAGCAGTGCAAGTGTAGAAACTTGGGATTACCATGATCCTTACATGGCTAGAAGATGGGCCAAGCATTTGCATGGCTACAGGCTCTGAAGCAATCTAACAAAAGACATTCACAGTCGGTGTTTACAAATCAACTTATCATTCCTACAGATGTTAGGTAATCCAGGACCATTGTGAGTCTTCGATTTGTCCCACCCAGATGTATGCTCAACGGCTTTCAAAAGAGAACTTGGGAACACTAATATTTAATTCACAAGTTACAATTAACCATACATCATTATATCATACATATATAATTTACACTGCTCTTTGTATCAATCACTTGTGGGTTTTTTTTTTTTTTTTTTTTTTTGGCTTCAACCGATCATGGATGCTTCTAATCATGTTTCTATTCCGGAAGGCGAACTTCTGTATTGTCTGTTCCAAGCCGGGTTAACCATATCTGCAATCCATACTATTACCAAAGAGGATTAAATACCAATTATAGCCCTTTCAAACAAGGTAACTTAGAGCATCTCCAACCGATGTGTCAAAAGTGCCACATAGACATTTAATGGCTAAAAATAACATCTCACATCACTCCAACCGATGTGTTAAAGTTGATGTGGAATGAAAGCCGGAGGTTGAGATGTTATTTTTGACATCCCAAAAGCAAGATGTCAAATAAATATTTTATTTTATTTTAAATTAAAAATTGTAGGGGTCTTTTTCTTCCGGCAGCTACAGATGGGCTGGGCCGCCGAAAAGAGCGAAATTTGAAATTATCCCCCTGTGTCTGAGTTCGAAAATCAAGCCCCAAGAACGTCTCGGAAGGGTAGTGAAGCCTTAAGAAACTTCTTGGTTACCTTCACCGATGAAAATAACAACAACTTACAGATAAATTTTCTAGCTTGGCGTGAGAAGCTTGTGGCATGGGAGCAAAATTGTCATGAGTTTAGCACTGAAGAGAAAACTAAGTATTCTTGGGGGGAAAAGGGATATTAAGGTAGGAGATGAAGAGTTTGCAAAAAGATTTGGCTGAGAATGAGGAAAAATAGAGGAATGGGTGGCTTGAATATTATTTCCGGTAGCTTGACAGTGACTCTGTCAAATGCTAGAGCAGCCTGCCAAAAGGGGAAAAATGAGGGGGAGGAGGAGTAGAGCACGAATTTTGCTGAGTTCTTGCAGGTAGGAGAGGAAGCTTGCTCTTGGATTTGTGGTTATGGCTAGTGGTGAAGGATGGGATGTTTTGGGTAATTTTCCAGCAGCTTGACAGAAGCTCTGTCAAGTGTTAGAACAACATGGCAAGAAGGAAAACTGAGGAAAGAGATGAACTAAGCACGAAAATTGTTGGTTTTGAAAGTAAGAGAGGAAGCTTGCTCTCTGGTTATGGATTGATTTTCGTTGGGTAGAAGAGGCCCTATTTATAGCTGCTGGAAACCATCTTTTCCCAAGAAACCCTAATGGCTTCCATCCCATTTTGCCAAGTCTTTCCCTTCTCCCCTCATCCCTTCAATCATCCTATTTTGGTGAAATCTACTCTACTCCTTTGCACAAAATCAGGGATTTTGGGAGCTCAAAGTCCCTTTCCCGCAACTGCCCTAGTGAAGAATTCCTATTTTCAAATATCCCCCTTTCTCTCTTTCCTTCCCTCTTTCATGGTCAGATATGAAGAATGAAAGAAATAGGTATACATGTTGGTTCGAAGGGTGGCTCCTTGCGCACCAATATCTTTTGGTCCCTTGGATGTTTTGCTTGGAAGCTTGTTCCTTCCGTCCCAGCAGCCCACGTGGTCTTCCAAGCTCCTCCGTGGCTTTGTCTTTCAGCCAAATGCTGGAGCCTTTGCTGCTGCTTACTTCTAATTGTATGGGCTTTCTAAGATGGCAAGTCAACCTACCAAACAAATGGGCTAATCTCCTCAAATTTTGGGCTATATTGGTTAATTTTAGTGGACCATTTTGGTTGGGCCTTTTGGTTGGAATATTTTGGTTGGGATAGTTTCTCTCTTGTGCTTACCCACATTTTTGGGCCTAAGAAATGGGCCTGAGTTCCGAGGCTCCCAAGCAACCCGGAACCTCCATTTCTCGGTCCATCAATGGGCCACATGACAACTTATTACGATCCATACCACAACCCACTCAAGCAAGCCCCGAGCATTCGAGTGGCTTGGGCCCACTTAGGCTTGTAGCGTGGTTGGGTGTGTAATAATGATTTCCTGCTTGGCATGATATATCGCTTGGCATGCTTTTAATCATTATGCTTGATGGAATAATTAGCATGGATTTGCAGAGCTAATGCACTTTGTAATCTTAATCTTGATTCCTAGCATGACGGATTATTTATTTGGCATGGCACGTGGAGTGTGACTCGTGCATGGTGGACTTTTGTATGTTCCAAGTCGGGTTTTTCCTCAATAATGCGTTGTACTGGGTTGAGAATTTATTTGGGCCCAACTGTGGATTTTTTTGGCCTCAACAAAAATAAATCAACACTAAATGTAATAAAATAATAATTTAATTTGACATATCAGGTTGAGTGTAAAGCTGTGTAAGATGTCAAATTGCCACATCAGCCATTAAATTTAAATTTGATGTTTGGTATTTGATATCTCCCTTGGAGATGCTCTTAAATATTAGTTTTTAAAAGCAAGGCTACACTAACACTCTCACTTTCTTTCTTCCACTCTCTCTCTCTCTCTCAATCAATTCTCTCTTCCAATAACTTTATACTAAACTTAAGTTGTTAAGAGTATTTACGATGCACTTAAGAGTCTAAATTCGATAAAGTACAAGTATATCATGAATTGAAGTTTCTAGTATTTTAAGGCAAAACGTTGCTTTTGGTTTGGTCTCTGTAGTTTACCAGTTTTACCACTTTGATCTCTTTAATTTTAATTTTGTCAATTTTTTCTTTCTAGTTTTCAATTTGAAGCTAAAATGACATATTCAATTTTTGTCAAATCCCTCCCAATTTCGTTAAGTTTTGACCATGTACCCCTCACATATAGGGGAATTATAGTCCACTTGAACCATCTAACGATAAAACACAAGCTAGAGCTCTTCCCATTCACTTTAGACGTAATTTTTAGACTTAGCGTTTCAAAAAATTGCACTTATTGAATTCAAGTCGGGGTCTGTTAACACCGACCTTATCTTCCCCAATAACAAGCACACCGGGACGGATGTTGGGTACCCAGGTAGGCTTTGGTTTGATCCACTTGGATGGGGAAGTGGCTCACCTGAGAAGATCAAGGAGCTAAGGACATAAAAAATTTGGTATTGGCGGAACAATAGGAAATATGAATTTAAATTATAATAATTCTCAACAAAATTGTAATCATCAAATATACAACAAATTTACATGGAATTAATGTAAATCAACAAACACAAATGTGTAGAAATACTGAAAACTTTAGCAATTGAGGCTTGCAAGAATTGCAATGTCTTAAAGACAGATTTTGCCCCTGCCCTTGAGCTCGCAGTTCTATAGGCATCCATCTATGAGGATTCAACAAATGATAATCCTAAATTGAAGCATTTCAATTTGAGACTCGGGCGAATCAATTATATATTTGTATTCTCAAGACAAAATTAGGAAGAATTTAACAATAGAGTACTGGGGATACTCTTTGTTTTTCACTCTTCATTCTATATCTCAAGTAGGTGAGGGTGTTTAGTTTATATGAAACTCATTACACCTCTTGTTGAAACGTACGTAGCTTTTCATTTGAATAGTTACAGACACAACTCAACGAAAACAAGACCACTTGATCATTTGAATCCCACCGTTTAATTATTAATAACTGCACTTTAAAGGATAACCAAGTGCAAAACAAATACTAAGACACACGACACTTATTTTTCATTCACTATAGAAATTAAATATTACTAAATAATATAAAATTTCTAACAAATCTTGCATTACTGGATCTGAATCACAATGGTTCCCTGTTCTTTTTCTCTTTGGAGTTTTATTTTTCTAGTATGGTTCTTCATGGACATAAAATATTGTATGTTTGAGTGAATGGGGAGGAATTTGGTGTATGTTTCCTCTAAATCTATGTCTGGATTATACTATCAATCACAAAATTAAGAAAAGAAAAAAGCAAAGTGAATGTTTCTTTTTCTTAACTAACTTTCGAGAAGTAATTAACCACTATGACAATTTGCAACCAAATGAAAACTTCATTCTTCAATCTTCATTCGTGAATGGATGAATCAATATATACTCAATCACCCACCCAAAAAAAAAAAGAGAGAACAAAAGAATCAATGTCCAGATGCATACACCGTATACTGAAAACCAAAGTTACAGAGAAAAAAAGCGACATTAATGATACTTCAGAAGCTATAATTTACATATGCCCCGTTCTCAACTGGCGCCAGGAATGAGGAAAAGTGAGAGTGAAGAAGGGGGTGAGTTTAAGTACCTAGAAGTCATTTTATAAATGGGTAAATTTATCTTTAAAATTTTAAAAATAAGATAAATAAGAAAATAGGATAGATGATGGAAATAAGACTGGGTTTGGAAATAGGGAAAGGGGTGGAATAGCAGCATTCGTCTCTTTTTTACTTTACCTCTGCTCCGCTCTTCCCTTTTATCTTTCACCGTCCACGAAATATCGAATAGGCCAAATAAATTAAATTTAAATTAAATACCCAACACCCACACAGAGCAAGACCCAGGCAGGAGTCAGCCATGGGAAAAGTAAAGTAAATAAAAAAGGCTACAAATCTTTACGGGCTCTGGCGCTGGCGCTGTGTGGCGATTGGGATTTGACGATTGCAGAGAGAGAGAGAGAGAGAGAGATGTTTCCGAAACTGATGCAGGCTCCCCACGAAGGAATTGCTGGTCAGGAAGATATGCAAGGTCACAGAGGAGACCCTTGCCTCGTTTTAACTTCCGATCCCAAACCCCGTCTTCGCTGGACTGCTGACCTTCATGAACGATTTGTCGATGCCGTCACTCAGCTTGGCGGTTCATCTAGTCTGTTGCTTTTTCTCTCATTCTCCTTTTTCAATATCCCCTTTGCCTAAATCTATTTGTTTTGTATTTGATAGGTAGGGTTTCTTGTTTGGGAACTTAGCTTCAACTTGACCTTAGGATATTGTTTATGAGTCAGATAGATTGAGCTCATTACATGAACCAACTTGGACATTCACTACACTACTACTAGTTGCTTCCACTTGTTTGTCTGCCTACCACCATATCAATGCTGCTTTCTAAGTTTTTGCGAATATCTCGTGTCCTTGCATCTTCAAGCTGTTTTGGATTCTCATGAGAGCTTGAATTTTATTTGCAGAAGCTACGCCAAAGGCTATTATGCGGACAATGAATGTGAAGGGCCTGACCCTTTTTCATTTGAAGAGCCATCTGCAGGTTTCTTTTTTTATCATTGAATTATATCATTGTGTTTGTTACCAAAGTTTAAACACTTATTGTTTCTTACTTCATTACAGAAATACAGACTAGGTAAGCAATCAGGGAAGGAAATGGGCGATGTATCCAAGGATGGTAGGTTTTGTCATAAGTCTCTCTTTGTGCCCTTTCATATTAGGTGGTTTTGTTCGGAATGGAATATGTTTTAGAGTATAGAATAATTGATTGTTATACAACCATTGGATCCTAAAAGTTAATGAATGAGCCAACAATGTATATCAAGCTAACACACTCCTGCATGTGGAGTTCCATCTTGCATGTGAAGATGTGGGCAGATGTCGACAAAGAGCAGAGACTGATTTCGAATGTAGGTTCTTTAGGAACCAAAGTTTGAATGTCATGTTAGACAGTCATTGGACTCCAAAAACTTAAAGCTGTTAAGGAATAATAAGTGAACAATGTATGTCAAGCTAGCATTGTTGTCCACATCTTAAGATGTGTTCTTTTATGCCCTGACACTCCCCTTACGCATGAGCCTCGTTCTAGTACAACACATAGAATTGAATAAAATTTGGGAGGTTACAGTAGCAATGTTCAAACTCACGATACCATGCTAAATTTGTTTGTTGGTTTACTTGTGTTTCCAAAAGTTTATATTTGAAAAGGATACAGGACAACACTTTCTTTGTACTTTTAACAATAAGTGCTCACTCTCTCTTCCCCTCCCTTGATACCTCTCCAAAAACAAAGGGATTTCCTTCTCAAATAAATTCATATATCTATTTTGAAGCCATCTAAAAGGCATATTATGTGAGTGCAATCTTTAATTCTGTGTCTGACTTATTTTTCCAATCACTGTGAGGAATGTCAGCTTCATACCTTCTAGAAAGCCCTGGTACCGGCAATTCTTCGCCAAATTTGCCAACTTCTGATTTAAATGAGTAAGAGTTTTGATCCCTTTTCTTTTTTGAAACCTTTTGATGCTTAATAGGTCATTTTACATTAAACGTTTGGTTAAAATGGCATCTTTAGGGGTTATGAAGTCAAAGAGGCATTAAGAGCACAGATGGAAGTGCAAAGTAAATTACATGTGCAAGTTGAGGTAAATTTCCCTACTCTGTAGGTGGGATGTGCGTGTGTGCGTCTTGCCCTTTTTCTGTATCTTTGTGAACAGTAAAGTTATTGGTGCGTGTCTGGAATGCAATTTTGAGCCCTTTCTTACCTTTTATTTGCCTAGCTTGTAACTTTGCACTCAGAATATAATTGATGATAATTCAAAATGCTAAAATTATCATCTACTAGTAAGTAAAGAACTTCTGGACTCAGTGTCTGGATCCGCACACAAGCTACTTAATCTTCTTCCCATTATTATGTAGGCCGAGAAGCACTTACAGATTCGCCAGGATGCAGAGCGAAGATATATGGCAATGCTTGAGAGAGCTTGTAAGATGCTTGCTGATCAATTTATTGGAGGTTCAGTTACTGATACAGACAGTCATAAGTGTCATGGATTGGGGAATAAGAACACAAAAGGTCCCTCCCTTGACCCACTTGGCTTCTACTCATTACAATCCACAGATGTGGCTGGAGTTCATGGTCCAGAAGAAGAAGTGCCGACTAGCATCCATACCCAAAGGGCTGATTGCTCCACTGAAAGCTGCCTCACATCACATGAGAGTCCTGGAGGACTGACCTTGGAAGGATCTCCTGGTGGCGGGAAGAAAAGAATGTTGAGCTTGGACTCCGCAGCTGCATCTTTAATTTGGGGTGAAGCCAAGGTGAGAACCCAAGAGATTAATGTAGCCGCAGTCAATCCTCATGGGATTGCTAGGTATGGTATGTAGGGCTGAAATTGAACATGACCAGAGTGAGATACTGTTGTTCACTCAGTGCATACGATATTTAAATGTAGAGTTTCAATCTTCTCTTGTGCATTTAGTTGGCAGGAATTGAAAGTGGAAACTAGTCGTCTCAACTCCCAAACTGTAAATTCAATATACTAGTGGCTTAAATATCAGAACGAATCGTGTGTCCAAAGCTGCTTGGGTTAAATTTTTGACTTAATGTAGACTCTTAAATTGTAGACTTGTCATTCAGTCTTGAGATGAGAGTGCTTCTAGTCAACTTTTCAATGCATGAGATCTTTACCACTGGACCAAGAGCGTCGGTTGCTATATGCCTCTCAGCCTGGCTTACCACATTGCTTTGTTTTTTGTTTTTTGTAATGCAGTACAAGTAATAGTCTAAACTACAAGGAGAGGGATTTGTCACATATACGCTTGAGTTACAAATCCCTTACTAGAAGAACATATATATTTTTTTTATTGAATGCAAGAAGAACATATTTGAAAGGGTGATTCGTTTACATCCCATCACTATTCACAATTCATTTTGGGTTCATTCGTTTACAAAATATTCTTTTTGGGTGTAATGCAAGATACTAAACGATGATTACAAATATGATGTTCATAATTTTTTTATCCACTGTGAATTGATTTGGTGTTGAATGTCAATGTTGTTTGCTCCTTTTGATGATCCAAATAGTATTTGTATAAGCCAAATGGAATCGTCGTCTCATCTATGGTAGTAATCGACCCTGAACTGGAGGACTTAGTGGAGTTCTTAGCTTTTTTGGTGACGTGGTTATTTTCTTGTTGTTTCCGTTTTAGGATAGGTTAGTTGAGCACACCTCGTAACGTATACTATGATAGAAAAAAAATTGATAATCAAATGATAGAATTAGAATACAAGTTAGAACAACCAAACTGATAAGGTGGGCAAATGCCAAGTGGGTATCATTTGATATTTGTAATAACAACAACATAACAAGAGAAAACTCCAAATACACGCGTAGCTCTCAAAATGAGGCAAACAAATAAGACAAAATCGCCGGAATAATTGTTGTTTGGACAAGGGACGGAATATTATCAAGCAGATTCCGTCAAGGCCGGTTTTTTTTTTTTTTTTTTGTCGATAAAATAATAAAATAAACTACTCGAGGCCGGTTATGCATTACTAATGTTATTTATTTTGTGATCGCAATATTTTGATGCATTTTACTATTTTGCACTAAAAAAGAAACAGAGGGCCGAAGCCTAACATAAGAAAGGAGAAAAAGGAAAACTAAGCAGGCTGCATGCCTGCATTGAATGAGGTAGATCACGAATTACCATAATTTAGTCATGCAAATAAATGAGGTTCACTATTGAAAACTATAATCTACGAATGTGATACATAACATGATACTTAATTGCTTGTAACTAAATAAAGTTCAGTACGTTCGAGAGTTAAAAAAATTGGGACTTTGTCAATTCGGGTTTACTACGGTTGTTGTGAATCTCTTCTTTCCACATGCTTGACACCCAGGATTGAAACCTCTGGATTTCTATCTTCCCAATGTAACCAATTTTTTTTTTTGGGACTTTAGTTAGCCTTTAGGATTATTATAAAATTTATCACTATTAATCACAATTCAATGATTCATATTCAAATTAGGTTTAACCCCAATATAGTTTTTTTTCTTTCTTTCAAATCAATGGCATACCATTTGATCAATGTCATACTTTTATTTTATTTTATCTATTCACATAAATAGATAGTATACATTTTATCAAGTGAGTTTTAGATAATAAATCTCTTAAATAATATTATTTGAGGAACCATTTGTGCGCAAATTTCATTTTGTAGTTTAACAATTTGAGCACTCAATGTATAAGGATCATTAGTCCATAAAATCAGCCAAATGAAAACTAATATTAAATAAATAGATAAACATTATTTTTCTAACTGAGATGAAATAATCACCATTTGATCAAATAGTTTAGTAATTATTGAATTAGCTGATTTTTTAGAGGATGATTCTAGAATGAAGACTTGAAAAATAAATCTCGAAATAAAATACGAAGTAGACCTTACAAAGAGTTGGCAGTATTTTCATAATTCAATTTCAAAGGTCTATTTTGCAGCTAACCATTTTCCTCCAATTTATCTTCTTAACAAATAGAAAGGGTTGATTTTCTTACTTTGTTTCGTTCTTCGGTTCTTCCCCCGAGGGTGGGTGGTGGTCTCTCAAGTCTCTCCCCCTTTTTTTTTTTTAATACTCGGTGCTACCACTTGTACGTCGGGAATCTCTCTCTCTCTCTCTTAAGACTATCTATCTTTCTGAGAAACAGAGAGAGCCATTTTCTCCTAAATTCAGACCTCCTCTCTGAATTCTTATTGTTATTACTATTACTTAACAAACACGGAGATCAGAGTCTCGAAATTGGAGGGCGGGTGGGATATGAGGGAGAGTAGATCTGTCATCTGAGTAGGGTATGTCTCTTCCCCATTTTTCTTTGCTTATCTAAACTCTGTTATTCTTCTTTGTCCTTGGCAAATAGCATACTATTTGACATACTTCTTCTTTCTAAATTCATAGTAATATGATCTTGCGCTAAGATAGCTCACTTCTTTATGAAACCCTAATTTACTGCCCACTGTCTTGAAATGGGATTGAGGCAGAGCCTTTTCCAATTATTGCTTCATCAATTGAAAAAGAAAAACGATAACCATTTTTTTCGGGGATCGTAGATTCACGAAAACATTTGTCTTCATGCTTATAAATCGCTAACTGCCTTAGCTTCAACCTTTTTCCGGCATATCTATTAAGGGGTTAATCAGCTCATCAGCACATTAGCTGCTCTCCTGCTTTGGATAAGCACATCCATGCCTTTTTCATTTTTCAACTCTTTAACTTGCGCTCTTTCAAAAGATAATACTTGTGATGAAGTGTTTTAGTCATCAGAGATGGATAGCTCTACCACAATCTGATTGGTTCTAATTTTACCGGCCAATATTCAAGTTTAACTGTATATTTCTTATTTATCTTTTGAACCAAAGGAAGAAAGAGTTCACGTGGAATGTCTACCTTACTTAGGTAAATAGTGATTCCTTTATTAGGCATGTGTTAGATAAGGTTGTAGTTGGTATGAGTCATGAGGTTATGTTTCTTTTATGCTATAGTGCATTATGCATTACGGCTTTCTAGTTCTTCTGTTTATAGATAAATGAAAAGTGTATCAACCAAAGGATGTTACTAGTTCACGCTTAGTCCGCAACAACTCACTAGTTCATGGTCAGCATTTAGACAGTGGCATCAACACAATGGAACCCATCAACGGAGGAAACAGTCTCAATAATCCTAACCTTGCCTCAAAACAGCGACTGCGTTGGACACACGAGCTTCATGAACGCTTTGTCGATGCTGTGGCACAACTTGGTGGGCCAGATCGTGAGTGACCTTAACTTCTTTCTAATTTGTTTCTGTTGTTGGTTGTGGCATATATCTGCTAATGTGCAGCAATTATCTAGTAAATCAGTGGAAGGTGATTTGTAAATGAAATCTTGACACTTATTTTTGTACTCAAGTGGATGAAATCTTGACTTGACTATACATGTGTGTTTCCGTATCTTCTTCAGTTTAGATGGAATTCACTAATTTTGATACAATACACGTGTATATATTATAGAATTCTTTGTCCTGTTCGAGCGAGCAATCTCCTATTGTGTTTCGCTTAGAAAACCTCTGGTTGCTTGTCCATTTAATTTAAGTGAGGGAAGCGTAGGTGAAAAAAAGCAGTTTCTGGTCTGTTAATAGTGCTTTACAGCTCGCAAGTCTTCAGTGTATTTCAACACGTGAATCCATAATGAGCTTCTAGATATACCATATTTTATATATGATTCTTTGCATAAAAAATGGTCTCAGGTTTAATTCATAAAAAATGGTCTCAAGTTTAATTCATACTTGATCTTATATGTGGTGTATGTGATATGTTTGAGAACTTGATTGAGATCAGAAAATGATATATTGCGTGACAGAAGATATATTTTAGATGCATCATGTCTTCATGCGAGGGAATGATTTTCAGTGGAAATATCTGTCAACTTCTACGTATGATATTGTGTATTTACCATGTAATGTTTTAAATAATTTATTCTTAATTTTTTCTAGGTGCGACACCAAAAGGTGTTTTGAGAGTGATGGGTGTACAAGGTTTAACCATATACCATGTAAAAAGCCATTTACAGGTATGTAAAAAACCATTCTGTCCAATGCTTAACTTTTGCAGTTTGCTGTATTGTTTTTTTCCTTTTACTTCAGTCAGTTGTGAGAATGGGTGAGGATATATGGCTATCTCACTGGTGTTTCCACTAATGCCACTTGTGTGATGCACTCAGAAATATCGACTTGCAAAATACCTACCCGACTCCTCGTCTGATGGTAGGTGAACCTGATTTCTTTTATGTTAATTATTCATGTATTTGTAATTCTGCATTAGGCAGGTTCTCTATAGTGATAAAGGAATATCAAAGATGAGTTATTGTTTGACCCTTCCTTATTGTGTCTTGATTCTCTTCAAATGTTAATGCAAGGAAAAAAAGCTGACAAGAAAGAACCTGGGGATGTGCTTTCCAATTTGGATGGTTCATCGTAAGTAGAGCTACTTACTATACTCAGTATTTCTTTGTGTTATATGGGCCATGTCAATTGGAACCCTGTAGTCAAAGTTTAAAGTTGAATAATTCATATTCAGTTCACAACTTATAAGAGCACACACAGCATGTGGCTAACAATTCAAAGGCTTTTGTGTTTCTTGAATTAATTTATTTCCATTTGTTTCCCTTTGTCTGATAATCTCAAAAAGCTGATTCTGTTTGCAGTGGAATGCAAATTACAGAAGCACTCAAGCTGCAGATGGAGGTGCAGAAGCGACTGCACGAGCAATTAGAGGTATGTTTTCTTCACAGAATTTAATATATTGTCTCTAGGTTTTACGTTTTTCAACTTAATATTTGTTATCCACCTGAGATAATATAAATATCCATAAAATGAAGAATTTGAAGGGAGACAAAAAAAAAAAGGAAGAGATTTTGCAAGTCGTTAATCTTTCCCTTTCTACAAAGGCTCATATCACTTCAAGTATCTTCAGGAGTCATGGTTGCCACTCATATAGTTCAAGTTAGCTTTTACTGGTTATGCATGGTTCACCTATCTTAAAGCAATGTAGACCCTAAAAAATGATGTTGATAGTGTCAGAAACCCTTAGCAAGATGTCCTCTGAAAATGACCAAGCAACTGGATAGGAAAATAATGAGAGAATAGTTACAACCATTTCCCACCCAGTGCCGTACTACAAGAAATTTTGCTGCATATAGAGGGGGAAGGGGAAGGGGGGAAGACTTGTTTGTTGGGGTCTGCTGACTTTTGATAACCTGAACTTGTGAATGCACGGCAGGTACAGAGACAGCTGCAGTTACGGATTGAAGCACAAGGAAAATACTTGAAGAAAATTATAGAAGAGCAACAACGACTTAGTGGAGTTCATTCAGAAGCACCTGGCTCTGGGCACTTAGCTCGTTTGTCAGATGACAACTGCCCAGAATCTGATAACAAGACTGACCCGGCAACCCCAGCCCCGACCTCTGAGTGCCCCCTCCAAGACAAGGCTGCCAAGGAATGTACACCAGCCAAGAGCCTTTCCATTGATGAATCTTTCTCATCTCGTCATGAACCCTTGACTCCAGATTCTGCTTGTCATGTTGATTCTCCAGCCGAGAGTCCAAAAGCAGAGAGCTCGATGAAGAAGCGGCGGGTTATCATGGGCGAAGCATTCGCTGATCCAGAAGTGGTGCTTACACACCAGATACTAGAGTCGAGCTTAAACTCTTCTTATCAGCAAACGCACACAACTTTCCTGCCTAGGGAGCAGTTTGATCCCTCATCCGGGATTTCATTCAGGAATGAAAATATATTGGAAAAAGTTGCGGGCAGTGACATGTAGTTTAGTGTTCTGAGCAGCATGCCCTGAAGGGGTTTCATTTTGCCGTAATGAGTTTTATGGGAGGTCTGTAACCAGGTGAAAGAATGTTGCAAATTAAAGGTGTGCTGCATTAGTTAGGTTCCAGCTTCAATCACGTCTATGAACTGTGCCTTATTTAAATTGAGAGAATTGCTGTGAACAATGGTTGGAATTAGTACTCTGCAATATAATTACCGTAGAGCTTGTTTGTGGCCAGATATTCTTTATAAACTTTTTATCATTCCCTGTTTTAGTTAGCATCGTCAGTCCATTTGGCTCAAGTCAGGTACATTCAAATATGGCAACCAGATCTAAATGTATAAACTTACAATCCAAGAGTGGCCTCAATCTAATGTACTGAGTGCACTGGTTGGGTCCGCCGCACTGTTTTGCCAAGATATTGGTATTCGCTAAGTAAATTTGGTTGGGGGTGGGAGCAGAGCTGCATTGGTCATGGCTCCCAGAGTACAGAAAAAGGAAACTACGCAGAGAAATATGGAACCTACCCGAACTAATAATCTTACATTAACCCTAGCCCTCTTTAACTTTACAGAACGGATTATAAGATGTCAAGTTCCTATGTGAGTGATTTCTATGTCAGATTTACCAAATAACTAAGAATTTTATCAACCCCTATCTTCTATAAAGAAATAACGCCAATCTTTTGAAATTCATGTCGGTTGACCCACAAATTTACCAAGCTGTCTGCAATTTTTACTTATCATTGTATCACAAATGAGTGGGAAGACAGGACATCATCGACCAGTTAGATCTTCATGAAACCTCATGCGAGACACAGAAAATAGAACAGGACTAATGATTTAAAACAAGAAAAAGAAAAAATGATGACAAGGTTGGGGTATAAATCAACAAAAAGTAAAACTTGAAGATGGAAACAACTATAGCTACAAACACTTTTATATAGTACAGCAGTCACGAAGTGGGATGTCTACAATGGTTTACTCGCTTAAGGATGCAAAGACGCAGCCGTTTGCTAAGGGCCTCTAGCTTTTCAAATTTCTCACTTTTGGGCTTCTTTGGAACAATGGGAACCTTCTTCTTTTTCTTTTCCTCCTTTTTTAGCTCTGATGATTTTTGTTGCATGCATCGAAGAGGCATCGTGAGCACCTTAAGAGTCTTCTACAATCAAAAGAGACAACTTAAATCAAGAAATGCAAACTTGGATGATTCCCATAAACAGCATGTGCAATGTTCTGTTTATGTGTCATTAGATTTCCAATCGTTAAATGAAATAACAAAACAAAAAGTTTGTTAAGAACACATTCTTAGCAGTAGATGTACAGCAAGGCCTTGCACCTTGAGTATGCCCAAGATTTATATGAAAGGCAGCTTTTGAAGATCTAGACGAGCATGATCTCATATGACTGCCCCACTACCCACTTTCTTTTTTCTTTATTCACATAATATGTCACCGAAGGATTGTTGTGTACTTGGATCAATGTACAAGCATACACCTATGCACCCAAAACATTCTGATAGATTATTTCTCATTCTTGGTAAACCAAACCCATAGGAGCCAACATCCAGGACTAGATGAGTCTACAACATGATATATTTGAATACTTCCATAAATTATTCAACAATCCAAATAAAAACCAAAAAGATTACCACCTGAATTGACGCTGATAAGTCCTATGAAAGCATAACATTTAAACAGAACTTTAAGTGGTGTCGGAAGAAAATAAGTCTCTACAGGAATATGCAATGTGGAGAGAGAGAGAGAGAGAGAGACCTGATGCCTGTTGTCAGCAGCTGTGCAATCAGCAGAAGATTCTTCATCACTGCCTCCTAATGAAGAGCATCTGCCCCAACTCTCTCTATTTGAGCTTGTATATGAACAACATTCTTCATTCTGATCATTAGGCTGGTCCTGTAAAACCATAACTGCAATATTTCAGAATACAAATCTGTCAAACAGAAAAGTCTCGTTGCCTTCTCACAGGGGTCATATGTCCATTGCATGATCAATCCCTACGGCAACTTGTCAAATAGGCGGAGTATGATTTCTCAGTAAATAATACACAGTAGATTAGAGGGGGAAAAGTAAAAGCTCAAATCGACTAAAAAAACACTGCAACAATACAATATCCCACTATTTACATCACTTTGTGATAAACAAACAGTCTTTCTAAGGGCTGGGCATGGTTTGGGTTGGGTTGGTACGGTTTTTGCGCCCAAACTGCCCACTGAACCGACCAAGTCAGTAAACAAAATTCCTGAACCAAGACCGAACCGTTGTAAGCATACACCATCCAGTTTTGGTCTACCGAAAAATGGTTTGGCATCATCAGTCAATTTTGGTCAATCTGCTGCTGGCTATGGGGAAGATGAGATCATGCACTGATCGAGCAAGAGATCCTTAGATTGTAGTAGATACGATGACGATGGAGCACATTTGAGTCAAGATCAAGATTTGAGAGTGGAGGCACATGCCTAAGTCGGGATCAAGGTTTGAGAGAGAGAGAGAGAGAGAGAGAGAGAGAGAGAGAGAGAGATGAGGAGGGGGAAGATGAGAGAGGAAGAGAGATAGGTGTAGAAAGGATACACAGTTCAGTTAAGGTTTTGGAGGAAAAACAATCGATGATTTTATAAGATGGAGGCCGATTCGATTATAACAGAACATTAAAATGCAAAAACTAAAGCCAAACCTTTCCTGACCGGTTCGATTTTACCACCAAATTAAAAAATTAAACAGAAAAACCAAACCAAACCAGACTGGTCAGTTTTTTGGGTCTAAAATACAGCACACAGTACTATCTTTTCTGCCTTATCAAGCTAACTAATAACCATTGCTAATCCATGGTTTTCTACAGCGAAGCCTGACCTTAATTGAAAAGCGAAAGAAAAAACCTAATTGAAAAATTTAAAGGGTACTACAATTGTAGATCACCTCTAGATGTGATGGTTCATGACTACTAAGTATGTCAGCTTCCACATGCACAGAATCCTGCATTATCAATAACATGTACGTTGCACAATGATTCAACATAATGGATAATATGGAGACAAAAGGTAACAAAACCTAGAAAAAAGATACATACAACTACAGTAGTCACTGGTGCAATTTCAGAAAGAAGTTCGCCCACACATTTTGTAGTTGAAATGGCAGGAGGAGCAGAAGATGAACTTGCAACATCAGTACCCGCAGAATGAACGCCAGTGATTATCTCATATAACAAGCCCTAAAAATCAAGGGGTGGGGGCACATATTCATTTTAGTGCAGGAAATTATGCACCATTCTTATGGCAGTGGAGCACAAAGGTGGACAACATCTATTGCCCAAGCCCATATAGTGGTTATGAGGCATAGCCAATGAAAATGGCTTAATGGCATGTGCTGTAACAAAATGCTAATAACCAGTCATTGTGAAACATTATTGTGCAGCACCTGACTTAAATAGAGGATGCGATCAAATTATAATCGTGAAGCCAGCCACTGAGTGGATATTAAAATTTTCAGTACATCTCAGCACTAATGACCAAATAATGATGAGGATGGTGATTGTGCACGTGTCTTTTTGCTTCTTGACATTGAAACATCAGAACATCTTGAACTATAATGCTTGAATTTTAGTTGTGATCATGATGATGATGGTGGCGGTGACTATGATATAAAAATGATGCATGAATGCCAGAAGCTCTAACTTCCGAACTCTCACTTTGATTTGGTAGAATGCCCTTTGGCTACAAAGCATCAACTGAGCTACAGTTCATTGACAGGGATTCCTAAAAGCATATGTACACTGATTGGGGAGTCAGCTAATACAATACTAGCAGTAATGATCCCAAAATTAATGACCAATTGTAACACTACAAGGTTTTTCACAATAACTTATATGAGACAGAAATCACCTCATCCAAACCAGCACCAATCTTCAAATCCCCTAAATCATAATATTTCTCAAGCTTACATGAATGAGAAGAAATTTGCGGGGGATGAAGAACATTGTAGAAGAAAATGGAAACTGAATCATAATAAAATTGGGGCCGAGAAGAGTTGTGATCACCATCAAAATATATAATATTTTTGTCCCCCTGCAAAGAATTAAAGATGTAGTTATTTGTTACTGTGCCAACTCAACCATATTAATTTATAAGAACCTTAAATGAGACAATACCGCATAAGACTTGTAGATAAGGTCAGAATGATGGTTTGGGATAAATTTGTCATCCTTAGCATGTCCAAATAAAGCAGGAATGAATGTTTTGGATGAAACCTGCCAGCGTTATACAAATGACCATATTCAATATATTTTTTTTAAAAAATTTGTGGATGTATACACACACACATATATATAACCATTGAAATGATCTTATGGCTACAACAATAAAAGAAATATAATAAGTGCTGGGCCAGCATGAGTCTAACCCACCCCTAAGCACAAAATGTTTTTTTTAATCCTTTAGCTAAAATCAGGGACACACTACTAGGGCACTCCTGTAACGTGGTCCAATGATCCATACTAACCATTTCTTAGGTCCCTCTTTAAGAAAAAATCAGCAAAATTGAGAACTATTTAACCAGTTGACTATAATCTTGATGATTTTACTGTTTATTGGAAACACGGTGTTCGTCTACTTATTTAATCATAATTAGAGGTCTAGAAGTTGTCTAATTTGACTTTTTTTTTTTTTTTTTTGCAAGGACAATCTTTTAATGGGGGCATAAAAATAGACTGTCTGTGTTTATTGGACTGGACGATGAAGTGGAACCCACAATATATCTCTTTAACTGAAGTAAATGATCCCTTACTTGAAAAGCCCTATATATGTATGGGTCATATGTGAATCGAAAAAAGAGAGTAGGGAAGGGAGCTAGGGTTAACTCATCCATGTCAACAGAATGATTAACATAGAAAGACCTGCAAGCAATTAAGATCCATGATATCGAACTTTGCCTTCTTCTCAATTATCCGACGCATGTATTGTACTGCCATCTTAACCTGGTTAAAGGAGGAGGGGTAAAGAAACCAGGGTTAAAGAAGAATGAGGGGTTAAGAAGCCGTGATTAAATAGACAACATAGAAAAACGAACTGGATAAATTTAATGCTTTATCATCCATGCAAATGCTAATAATTTCCTTAAAAGGAAAATTATCCTGGCTTGGATATTATAGGCACACATACACACGTCTTATTCTAGTAAGGAGCCAAAATAAGAAGGCAACTCAAGGAGATAATCATAGACCTTTAAATCGGTGATTAAATTACTCACACTTTTGAGTGTTTTAATCGTTCTTATAGAAAAAATATTTTTTCGATAAGAAAAAAAAAAAATACTAATACCTCAGAAAATACAATACTTGTGGACAAGTTATCCACGACATACAAATTACTATAACAAAAAAAATAGAAAATTTCAATCAATCGAACAGGAAATATACATGTGCGCAAAAAAAAAATCATTGCTAAAATAACAAAAACAGTAATTCCCGAGATTCAAAAGAAGCCTGAACCCCAAAACCTTACTTCATCAGCCCCCACCCCTCCTTTCAAAAATCTTCTTGTTTCTCTCCCAACCATTCCACCCAAAATACAGCTATCCAAATTTCCATAAAACCATTGCCCTCTTGCTTCCCCCGGAATCCATTTAATTTTCTCCAATCCCTTTTCCGCTCTCTCCACCACCAGGTCTTACAACTTCTCAATCATGGATTACCCCTTATTGTAGAAAGAGATCTAATAGCCTATTGCATCTTTAAGTTCCCTCTTTATTTTAGCTCCTTACTAGAACAAAACTATAAACAAAGAGAGTAATTTTCACTCATTGGAAGGTTGAGCATGTTATGTTGTAAACTCTAGATCGGGATCGTTGATTCGGTGAAATCATGTTAGAATGTGCAGATAACATAATATGCTACATGCCAGGAAAGCGACCATTCCTCCTTCCATGTGAGTGTGTGTGTGCACGTGTGCACATGCCTCTTGTGTTTGAGGCTCTATATAGGTAGGTAGGCAGGTATGTTTGAATAAATCCTAACCATTCACGGATTCGGGTTGGAAAATTTGACCTTTTTGAGTTATTTAATGCTATCAAGGGTCAAAATTATATTTCTATTTTACCAATTATGTCACTGACCAGTCCCAGCCATGTCATTTTCAGCCTAACTTCAAGCTTTTATGCTCTAATTCAAAACAATATATATACATATATATATTTCAATCTGGGACATTTTTCTATATTTGTTGCACATGACCAATTTATCTACCTATTCTTGTGTGCCCCACAGAATGTGGGCACTAAGAGATGCGAAAAACCCATAAGACTATGTTGTTTGTCAACATCTCTCTGTGTGTTGTTGGGGGGGGAGAGGAGAGAGAGAGAGAGAGAGAGAGAGAGAGAGAGAGATTGTACTGTAAATTTAGGAAGACGGATCTTGTACACATCAACTAGCTCCATCATTAGAACATACAAGTTTGAAAAGGCACTATCCAACACCATTCCCGCTATGGATGGGTCTTCTGCTCCATAAAGAAGGCTGCATAACACATATGAAGTTAGTTACCTCAGGAGTTTAAAAAATATTCTTACGCACACCAAAATGTAGATGTCAGTATTCTTTATGTGCAAAGAAGAATATCACCATCTTTGACCACCAAGTCAATGTGAATTTTTAGCGCAATAACAAGTCAAAAACAAAAGCATTCTGAACACCTAAAGTTATACAAGATGAAGAAATCCTCGAAAAAAAATCTGGGAAGACCCTTCCATAGCCAAGCCAATAATACAAGTTAACCTAAATAATGAGTCAATGAATCAACATAAAGTACCATGTAACTGCACCCATAGATCGCCCCCAAAGACCTATACGTGAGATTTGTTTGTTGCTTCTTAAATATGAAACCGCAACCTTGAGGTCATCTCTCTGACACAGTAAAGAACAATTAACAAACTGCACAAAGCAAGAAAAGTAAGTAGAAAATAAAATTGAAAGAGACAACATACCTCATGCCAACCAAGGCTGACGTAGTCACCATCAGATAAGCCTGAACCCGAAAAATCAAGAGTAAAAACGGTGATATTTGATGGAAGCAGCATTACAGCAGCTTCATTTGCATCTGCCCTACACCCACTGCATCATTGCCCATTACTGCAGAGTAAGTTCTAACATCTTTGTCTACAAAGCACCTTTAACACTTATTTAAATTTCTTTAGAACAAAAATAGAGAACAGTGCTGGAAAAGTGAAAATAGCGTATGATATTAAAGAATCAAGATTCATAACCACAAGTACAGGTGGACCAAAAAAGGACCAAAAATGTACGGAATCACAGAGAATTTTTTTAAAAAAAATAAACTCTACAATAGTAGTTACATACCTGTTTCCATGACAGTATATAACACAAGGAAGAGAAGCATCTTCGGGGAAAGGTGAAGGCAGATAATGACTGCAATGCAATGTATGTCCCCTAGCATTTGTGAGCTGCAAGTATTTTCAAAATATAATATAGCAGGCTCAGGAACCATAATGTAGTTAAACATTTCCGCGAAGTAAAAACGACAATTTCCTGGTAAGTGGTAACTCATGTCCATACTTGCCTCCAAGTCTTGTCGTATGTATGTTCTGCCTGCAAGAGTGAAATCCCTCTCCCAAAGATATTGATCCGGGTTATACTCTGCCCTGTATACCAACATTGCAGATGTGTACAAAATGTACATCAGATGTTGCTCTAAGGGACTAGGGCGAGAGTTGTCTAACATGATTTATTTATAAGACACATTAATCTCATTAAAAAGGAACAAAACAATACAGGGAACAAGTTATCCAATGGTCTAGCTAGAAGATGCTAGCCAAACAATTCAACAAAGACTACAAAACATATCTAAGCAACCAAGACACATGGCAGAAGACCAACAAAACTAGTGTAAGGAAGAATTCCAATCAGTCAATCACCATTATCTATGCCTCAACCTGAAATATTTGGCATGACTAACCTATTCCAAACCATATTCCACATGATACCACTTATATCTGGCCACAATCTCAAGCACAAGAACAATTCTGGGCACCCCCTCAAGAATGCAAATAAATATTACAACAGGGTAAACCACAGAACGATGTGTTATCAAGGAAGTTTACGATATGTGAGCCATACATACAAGTGGAACATTTATGAGCCTATTTGATACATTTCGTTTTGTTTTGTTTTTGTTTTGTTTTTGTTTCATTTTTTATTTTTTTATTTTTTTTTAAGTTAAAGAGATAAAGTGGCGAGAGGAAATTAAATTTAAAGAGAGCAAGGTGAGGAAGAGAGGAGAGAATAGATAAATTAAAGCAATTTTCTTTCATTTTTAGTTTTTATTTAGAAAATATTATTTAACTTCCTTCTCTCTCTCTCTCTCTCTCTCTCTCTCTCTCTCTCTCTCTCTCTCTCTCATTAACTCTCTCTCTCTCTCTCTCTCTCTCTCTCTCTCTCTCTCTCTTTAAAAACAAAATAAAAACATAAATGTTAACAAATGGTTTTTGTGTTGTTTCTCATTCCACTCCACTGCATGAAAGGAGAAAAATGTCCATACAAACGACATCCCATAATAGTAGCTGGGCTTAGATACTAGGCAGATACTGAGTCCTATCTTTATGACCAACTAACTATTGGTCTAGTGCTACTTCTCTTCCCAATGTTGGAAAAGGTCCCAAGCTCGGTTCCCCTTTCCCATTGATTAAAAAACAAAAGAGAGATCTATCTTTCTGCAGAAGATCTGTTGCACTACGTTATTTCCAGCAGAAGATACCAGTTTTTTCCAGCAGAAGATACCAATTTGGCCAATGAAACTCTGAACAGGAAGCATGAGATGCATACCTGGGAGGGCGAATGACAAAATTAATGAACTGATCGATCATCTTGCTTTCAAGCGTCCCTCAAAGCTGCTCCGACCCATAAGATGAGGAAAAAACAAAACAATAGCAGAATCCTGAGAAGTGAGAATCCTCACTTCAAAGTTAGATATGAAGCCTTTCTCCTCCTTTTCCCTCAAATTCCACAAAAGCCATATGAATCAAACGAAAAAGACAGAAGGAATTTCATGGTATCATAAACTTAACCTAAACCTTAAAATTCACTTCGCCCAATCTGAGAAAAACTTTGAGCTATCATCATTACGAAAAGGTAAAAACGCTTAACAAAAATTATTTTTTCGAATGTGAATCAGGCGGTGGCCCCGATGGAGGTAATGACAATGACAATAAATTAAGAATAGAATTAGCATTCCAATTCCAGATCTCCAGCCCCCCAACTGTTATGAATGCTATTCTCATTTTCTAAGTTGTAAACGCCAAAAAGAGCAAAGCTTTTTACCTAGGGTTGTAGCATTCCCCCCCTGGTCAACGGGACAAACCGTGAGCTCCAGAAACTAACCGCTGTTTCCCACTTTGCAGTTGAATAGAGAGAGTCCGCCAACGAGAACAAATCAGAAAATCAAAACTTAAAGTGTACAGTGGTAGAAAACACAACCCCCTCACAGTCGTGTGTGTGCCTATGAAAGTTAAAAGGGAATCTAAAAAAAGTGGAAATAAAAGTGATCCTATAGTTCTTCAGTTTTTAAAATTTTCAGTCCTTGAACTTCTAATGTTGTGTCACTTTGATTATTTCGTCAAAGTATTAGTTTTTTTCTCAAAAATCATTCGCAGGACAAAAAAAAGTGTCTACTTCCTTTTTATTTATTTATTTATTATCACTTTGATTACTAAGTCTAGAGTAATGCTATTTGGACACACAATATTGACACACTTAGTGACACCCGCTGATGTGTCAATGTATCATTTGCTCTTCTTTTCTCCTCGTTTTCTGTTCAGCGAATGATACATTGACACATCAGCGGGTGTCAACTAAGTGTGTCAATGTTATGTGTCCAAATAGCATTACTCCTAAGTCTATTCCTCTCTCCACTTTCCTTCTCACATTTTAGCCAAAAAGTCATCACTTCAATTTCGAAAATGAAACACTTTTACTAAGACTTTCTTGTCGATTGGGAAGGGATTTGAACTTGCGAGTTGCGACATCTCTAGTTTTTATCTCTATTAAAAAAATGCAATTGGGTATGGAGAACTCAAATTTGGAAACCCTTCCAACAATAGGAAGATATATTACTACATTTAAAATACAATTATTTGACAAAATTTTAATTCATGTTGTAAATGTATCCAAAAAAAATATAAGCGATAATCTAAATTATAGGGGAGGAGGATTTCTCTCACACACACAATCAATATGTAATTTATGTCAGAAAGTAATAAGCATAGAACTTTATTGTCATTGTTATTTAACTTAATTACATTTGAAAGAAACCATTTCACTTTTTCTCTTTAAATTTGCTAGTTTTTGGATGAAGTGAACTTTTGGAATGGATGAGGTTTGGCTAAAAGAGATATAACCTTAAGAAAATGCATTTGATAAACTAATGACAAAAAGATGAGGGTTATTTGATTAATGTAGCATAATTCACGATATTGTTTTTATAGCAAGATTGGGATTTTATCAAACTGAAAAGAAAACCATACGTCTGGTCTAGGATTGGAGAGAGCCTGGTGTCTTCTATCCAGATGACCTCATCGGTACAAAGAGCGAATTTTGCCATAGCATATGTTTGCTTGGTTACAGAAACGCCTGTGAAACTGGAACTGCTTGATGAGATGTTCGGTTTCCCCCTACCAACAAGACTCAAGCATATGTATTCATATGATGAAGTTACAACCGCTACCCTTTGCACCTTTTTGAAATACGTACTATAAATAGTGAGTTTTTTTGTTTTTTTTTCCAAGGTGAGTTGGATACCATTCCCTACAATCAACATCAGATTGATCTATTGTAGCGAAAAAACTAGAGGTGCACATAGTTTTAAAAGTTGGTTACAAATTCCTTGATCATTTTGATACTTTTTTTTTTGGGTGTGTTTTGTCCACCAAAACGAAACTAAAATTTCCTTGAACCAGCAAAGGACCCACTAGTGTAGTAATTTGGAGCAATTGCTCCCCTTGGGTTTGAATCCTAGCATCCGTATATTGTGTGTGAGTATACTATCACCCCTCTCAATAGAAAAGGTCTTAAAAAAAAAAATCCTTCAACTAAAAAGAAAAATAACTAAATTTCTTTCGACCAAAGGAAAAAAAAAAAACCTAAAATTTCTTCTAACAGATGTTGATTGCATTAGCACATCACTTTATAATCTTTCATAGATATATCAAAACCAGGTGTTGATCTGTAGTAAACTTCAGGAAGTAGTTAATGAATTAAAACTTGTAGCACCAATCTTACTTCGTCCTCCAATTAGCAACAGTGGGGACTCCTTTTTTGGATGAGATAGTGCGTGAAACATTCTCCCCTGCACACCTTGCAAAGTGTCAACTAGGATCTGTAGTATCAAAACTACTACCAGTAAATCTCGATTAACCTCGAATTTCGGTCATTTTAAAACTTTTCCCCAACCACAGAATGCTTTTTGAACCAAAAGATGGTAAAATTCTTCCCAGCTTTTACTCAAAATTGACAAAGGGTATAAAAAGGTAGGATGGTTGGACAAGGAAGCAGATTTAGCTACAGAGACTAACCAAATATATGATATACTTGTTGGAGAAAAGGAAGGACTAGTATGGTGCGTTAAAGTTGTGGCTGGCATTCAAAATATCGCAAAATTTTATAAGCTGGCACTTGGTTTCACAATACCCTGCAGCTTCCACCCCCCAAGTCCTGCCAAAGCAAATGCCTGTGACAATAATGCAGGATTAATAAACAGTGAAATAGTAGAAAAGGAAAAAAGAAACTCTAATTCTTCTCAATCTAATCAGAAAATGAAAAGGAGAAAAGGAGTAAATGATATTGTTTGAACCACAGATATTCAAGTGGCCAATATAAAGGAGTGCAATTATATTAAGGCAATTTCGAAGGAAAAGAATCTTAGGGGAGGAGAATTGTGTAAGGCAAGATGACAAGGCTTTTCTTCTTATTCCTTTTTCCTGGGAGAGATCTCAAAAATCCTGTCCTTTTTTACAAGAACTTCTACTCTATTTATAAGGGGGAACAAAACATGAATTAATTTACAAGCTGACTACCTCGGCTCGGAGCCGAGCTGTTTGTGTCACATCAGATCTGTTAGATGATGGGCGGTTGGGATTTGTCCATGTCCTCCGCCCATAATGACCTTCTTACATTTCCACTAGGGGGCGGGCCTGGACAGAATACCCTTCTGCACACACGGCGGCAGTTCCATCCGGTGAGGTGGTGGTTCGGGCGGTTTACATCTGGCTTTTGAAGGGACGTGGGCACACTTTCAGAGGCGTGACGGGTCGGCGGTCAGAAGGGGTCTTGTCAAACGACATGGCCGGCTTACAAATTTTCAATCTTCTCAAGGTGGCTTGGAGGCCGAGGTCGAGGGAGTCTTGCTTGCTTTTTCCGGTGTGTTGTACGAGGCCCATGTGTTGTGTTTTTATTGGGTAGGTGAGCTCGGTGTGTGCCGAGCCTCAACAGATATGATTTTGTCCCAGCCCAGAAGGTATGACCAAAGCTGTCACAAGAAACTCTAATTCTTCTCAATCTAATCAAAAAATTGAAAAGGAGAAAAGGGAGGTGACATGGACAAATATAATCTCTCCTCAACCTTTCCCTATAGAATTTTTCCTTAACTTCAAGTCATAGCAAATGATGTTATAGACTTCTATTTCCATAATCAAGTGTCTCAGCTTAAGGACGCTCTCAAAAATCTGTCCGCTAGGAATGTATGCCAAATGAAAGGGATATGATCCTAAGAGACAATTGCCATTCCGTTCAATGTTTTGGTCCTAACTTTATGGCTGCTGTGAACGATGGTGATGGGACAAAATGCCGCTAATGTCACCATTGTTCTCCTTAGTAATGAATGCCAATTCAGATTTGGAGCCACTCTGCCTTCTTAAAAATTCCCATCCCCCATTAAACATTCTCCGCAAGTTATTATAAGTTACAAAACTGACAATTGATATCAACTTGAATTGAAGTGGTATCCCTACAAGAACTAAGGAATCACATGGTAAGGCAATCCAAAAGTTCAAAGTCCAAACGCAGTGCTTGCAACCCATATAAACCCTGAACTTAGAAATCTCTTCCTCCACTTCTCACTTGGTGATTACCTCTTTACGGTTTTCTTTATCAAGAGAATGAGAGGTAGGAAGGGCGGGGAATGGGGAGAGAAACTTAGGGCCCATTCGGTAATGTTTTCGGAGAATATTTTCAGAGAATGAAAACAAGAAAACGAATTTGCATTTTTAGGAAATGAAAATGCGTTTAGTAGATTAATTAGAAAACATTTTCAGAAAACAAAAACAATGAAAATGTGTCTGATAGTACAATTTGAAATAATAAATGGGAGTTATTTTTATGAAAACGTTTCCCATGAGAATAAAAACAACTTTTTTCTGTTTTCTACAAGTACACATGAACTTGTTTTTCATAAATGAAAACATTCTCAATGTTTTCTATTTTTGGGCCACCGAACGTTTTTTTGTCTCATTTTTGTTCTCTGAAAATGAAAACAACCCCTTAAAACGTTACCGAACGGGCCCTTAGAAAATCCTCTTCCTCTACTTCTACTTGTGGATTCTGTCTTTAAGGTTTTTGTTAGGTTTTTTTGGCTCGTCAAATATGTCCTAGTTGGTTTAGGATTGTTTTAGGAAAATTAGAGATATACCGATTCTTGTCCTAGAGGGATTAGGAAAGAATTTCAGTTTCCTTATTCAAGTTAGGTTTGGATTTCTAGAAGTCTATTTGGATTTGGATAAGTATAATTTCCTAATCCACTTAGAAATAGGAATTCAATCAGCCTTGGGACATGTAAGTCAACTCTATATCTATAAATAGGGTGCGGCAAGGCTTATTTTAAAGAGGGAAAAACAACCAGAGACAGCCAAGAGTTTTGAGATTACTTCTAGGGTTTGCAAAAGTTCTGTAATCTCTATTATTAATCAAAGGAGCGGTGATTTCTAGAAAAATCACAACTGGACGTAGGCAAAAGTTCTGCTGAACCAGTATAATTCTTGTGTGTTTTTAAGTTTTCTAATATTCGCTAGTTTAGTCTATTGCGGTTGGTTACATTAAAGAACAAGGTCCAGTGTGCGGGTTATTTAACAATTGGTATCAAGAGCCTGGTTAAAGGGGTTCTACGATGTCTAAAGGGAAGATGAATGCGGATCTAGGACTTGCGTTAAAGCCCTTTGACAGCAAGGATGACTTCACGGACTGGCAAAGGATGATGAAGAACGTACTGATACAGCAAGATTTGGATGATGCACTCAACGGTGAGAAGCCGGCAAGCATGACAGATGCAGCATGGACTAAGGTTCTCAAGAAGGCCAAGAGTTCCATCAAGATCCATCTCACAAGATCAGTTTGGTCACACATCACTGAAAAGATGACTGCCCATGAAGCATGGGAACAGTTGGAGAATGTTTATATGGGCAAAACCGTTTCCAATAAACTTTTTCTAAAGGATGAACTATTCGGACTTCGACTGGAAGAAGGAGGTGATATTGAAGATCACGTATGCAGGTTCCAGAATTGCATGACTAATCTTCAAAAGGTCGAAGAAACTTACAAAGATGATGATATGGCTATCATCTTGCTGAGGTCTCTACCTTCGTCTTTCAAGCACTTTCGAACAACTCTAATGTTTGGAAAAGAGTCCTTGAAGCTTGAAGACGTAATTCAAGCTCTTCAGTCATATGCTAAACTAGATGATATAACTGAAAGCCCTCAAGGCCTTTATGCCAAAGGCAAGGAGAGGGGGTGGGAAAAGACAAAGGAAGAGAAAACAGGCAACAGAGGTAGGTCAAAATCCAGGAAGAAAAAGGAAATGAAGGAAGGTTGCTTCAAATGTGGTTCTGCCGATCATTGGAATGGAAAGAGAAGAAAGCCAAGATGGAAGGAAGCTTAGGTTCAGCTAGTGCAGTCATCGAGCATGAGAGTGACGGGGAGCTTCTTTCAGTAACATTAGGCTCCAAAGCTTTCACAAATTGGATTTTGGATACCAGATGCACTTTTCGTATGTGTGCAATAAGAGAATGGTTCAATACTTATAAAGAAGTCTGTAATCTCTATTATTAATCAAAGGAGCGGTGATTTCTCTAGGTAGAGAAATCACAACTGGACGTAGGCAAAAGTTCTGCCGAACCAGTATAATTCTTGTGTGGTTATAAGTTTTCTAGTATTTGCTAGTTTAGTCTATTGCCGTTGGTTACATTAAGGAACAAGGTCCAGTGTGCGGGTTATTTAACAGTTTTCTTCTTCCTTTTTACTTTCCCAGTCTTTTAATTCAGAGTCACTAACAAAAGATTTCCCATCTCTCTAGTTGATTATCTCTTTTAAGTTTCTTCTGGTGGACGAGTTTGTAGCCAGGATCATCTCAGAGAACATAGATCCTCGGAAAACCTCCTATCTTTATTGAATTAACTTGATACCCTCCAACAATTTCTTTTTTCCAAAAAAAAATCCAAAGAATAATCAGAAGACTGTTTTACTATAAACATGTACATTACATTGACATAGAGCACAGAGATGACAACAAGATGTACGTTGATTTCAGAAAATAGAAAAAAAAAAAAAGGAAAGGAAAGAAGCCTAACCTCATCCCAAGATTTCCCAGTAGTTTCAAGCAAAGCAGCGTTGCAAGTCTTCAGTTCTATGGAGGCACCTGTGAACATTGAGGCGGCCTCCTCCCAACCCCTATTATGTCCCATGCACCTGTATAGTTGCAACATGATCTAATATCATACTTTCTTGCTTAGCATAAGAAAAATGAGGTAGTGAGCCAGAGGTTACATGACAGTGAGGATGTCGTCCCTTGAATAGTTACAGATAACGTGTTGAAGGTGCTCAGCCGTCTGCCCATCCATGGCCGCGATGGAATAAAAGCTTGAAATATAATGGACCTCAGCTTCCAAGAAGCCTCTCACTTGTTGCTGCATTATCGTAAGAGTTTCCCTGGTTCGCACTGCATTGCTACAGCCCAAACACGGCAGCTAAGAAATTCGAATTGATTTAAAAAAGCCAACATGAAATGTAAATTCTGAATTAATTAGGGCAGCTACTTTCCGCTCCTAGATTGTCATCCTGCACTTTATCATTTTAAAGCACTCACAAAACAAAAGAGTGCAGGATGACAAATGAGACTGGGAATAACACTGCCCTTAATTAGTACCTAGATAAAATAAGTTGAGGTATCCAACCCAACTGTTGGAGCTTATGAGAGACTTTGACAGCATCGGCTTGTCCTGTTTCACTCAGTGGCCGATCATGATCTACAATCATGCAAAAATATTACAATAAATAGGATTTCGGATTTCTCTCTAAATAAAGAAAAGAAAAGAAAAAAGATAGAAATTTGAGGGAACCTTTTAGCGAAGGGTCTTCCCAGGAACTGTTAGCATGACGAAGCAGAATGAGGCGACGAGCAACGTATGGAGGAGTTTGTTCAGAATCTGAAACAGCTTTGCCCTCCACTGTCTCGATTACCAAAGATGGAGGCCTAGTAGCCGTGTTAGGGTTTCTGCGACGGATTGAAGAGGATTTGGGCCAATTGGTATTCGCGGACGCTGAGAAATGATGCTGAATATTAAAATTAATATTATGGTTACAGAGAGTTACTGCATTCATACTGCCAGAGTTGCGACTCTTTAGAGCGAACTGTGAGCTACCGAGTGAAAGATAGAGCCCTCCATGGCTCGAGTCAGGGTTACTTATGGTCCCACCACGTAGCTTGTGGCTTTTCTTACTTTTAAATTTTAATTGCTAAAAATAAATAAAATTCAAACTATACCTAAATATAGGAAAAAGGAAATTTGAATCCTGGTAGTTGAAGTTTTCAATTTTTAACCCAATATCCATTTTTCAAGGCATCAATTCTGATATCAAGAGGTAAAACTCCTGAAATAAAACCAGTCCGATCCGTTCAAAAAACCCCTGAAAACCCTAGAAACACTCAAACCATGAAGAACTGACACCCTAAAGAGCATTTATTTATACAATAAGAATCTGCATATTTACTATGTTGAATGAAACAAAAGCCAAACAGCACATTATCAGATCGACCAAAAAAAAAAAAAAAAAAAAAAAAAAAAAAAAAAAACACAAAATGAACCCATTTCCAACCCTCTTAATCTCCTCGTTAAGAAGTTATTGTGAGGAAGATCCGGCTTGAGAATTACAGCTTAATGTTCATGCCATTCTATTTGTCAGAAAGGTATTAGGCAAGTCACACTTTCAGCAAGTCAACTCTTGAGCAAGGTATTGAGTTTGCAAGTTGCTTTGTTCATCAATAAGATCATTGGACATTGCAGATGGTATTCGGTGGCACTTCAAAATTTTTGAAGTTGCAACTTTTGCTAAACGATGGTTCAACACAATAACCCTATCATCATCCAAATCAAAGCGCACACTCTCTTTGCTACAGCTTTCAACAAGTTGGCATAAATGTTTCAAGTTTTCAACTTCTATCCCATTAACCTTCTTAACCTGCCACCACAAGTTAAAATTTTCATGAGACAGGTAAACAAGTAAATGTGCAAGATTGCCAAGTTCTATCCTGCAAACCTTCTATCATAGCATTTACTTGGGCAAACAATAACATAGCATCGATGTAACCTCAAATATAATGGATACTGATGTGTTACGGAAATAGAATTAGAATTTTGCTCACACCTGTAACTCTGCAAGACGTTCATATCCTGCATTGATATCATCCATCAGGACCTGAACGAAATAAACAATTATCACAAAAATAAATAGAATTGTAATTACTTGCTGAATCAGAAGAAAGTTCCCAACTGTGCTTTTGCAGTTGAATATAATATTTATAATACAGCAAACATAAAAATCAGCATTTTCTTCATGATAAACCAAATGGTTTTGCACCAAGTAGCACAGAAGGACGTATGGCTGCACTTCATCAGAAGACAACCGTCATGGACTCATCTAATATTTCTCCCCAATCCCTAGTGAACACCAACTTAATCTTCATTTTGCTACATAGTAGGGATAGGGGTAGATGAACTTTCCTTCCTGCTTCAAACAAGATACTTTGTACCTCTGCCTTACATAACCAGTTCTAATATTCAGAGCAAGTAGACTCACCCTTCATTCCCAGATGACAACCCGAATCACAATATAATTAGTACTCATGCTTTTATGAAAGTCCAATTCAAAGTTCCCGAAAAATGTCTCCTTGATTACTTCACATTAAAAATGACGAAGCTTAACTTTGAAAGTTAATTCTGTATGTACAGTTCAACAATTCAATCCATGAACTTTTACAAGATGATTATATATGGTTGCGAAGAGCGTGCCTTACATATGCATATGGTGCTATTACAGTATGTTAAAATGAAAATCCACATGAAGACAAAGATCAAACGTATACATAAATGTTTACACAAAATGAAGTATCTGTATGTACAACATGATTCAATATCAATCGTCAGCCTTATTTGATGGATTTCAATCAGTGATTTCCAAAAATACAAATGTTATGAGAATGAACACATAGAACGACAGTTATAGTATTTTAAAGTTGGAGAAAGAAAAGCTATGATGTTTTATCAACAATGAAAAGTTTAAAGTTAACAATTAAAGAGCATACTCTGGGTGGATTGTAAAAACACTAACATTTGTGCTGTACATATTCCCCATTCTAAAGTTTAAAGTAAGGATGTCCATGACAGTATTTTATCTCTTCTCATGGCACTGCATTTGAACTAAATAAACATCACAGCTTTACATTCTTTTATCATTCTACATTATAAAGTCTTCTTCATGGCATATGCAACCGCACAATCAACAAAACAATACTGACACATCACTTGAAAAAGATATGCAGACCTGAGAAAGGATGACAAGCTGTTCACCAGCCCTTTTTGGGGGTTCCCTTAATGCACTTTCACACAATCGTCGAGGTGAAGTATTATACCAGTCTTCTCCATACTCATGAAGGTATGGCTGAGTGAGTGGAACAAAGACCAAACCAGCAAAAATATAATAACTAGGGAGTTTATCGAACTGATGAACTGGAACTAATGGCTGCAACTGCATAATTCAACAACTAATAAAGAATTGCAAAACAACCAAACAACTCTAAATTGCATGGCAAAGAATATCTTCACTTCTGATTAAACAATCATAGTCATAAATTCTAAATTTCTATTTACCTCTAAATATTGAAGTTCTAAAATTTGCAGCGAGAACCAAACCAATTACCATTACAATAAGATGGTAGTTCAAATTCCACAAGTACAAGAGCTAATAAACACAAAACGGACAATGACAGCACAACCAATTGGGTGTGGTTGCATAAAAGAGCTTTAGCAACTGCACAATTGAACAACTCAAAGCTGAATTGCAAAGCAAGGAAATAACTCTAAATTGCATTGCAAAGAATATCTTCATCAGTGATTAGACAATCACAATCATATATCCTAAATTTCTATGTACCTTTAACCTATTGAAGTTTTAAAATTGCAGTGAGGACCAAACCAATTACCACCACAACGAGATGGTAGTTCAAAAGTCCACAACTGGAAGAGCTGAATAAACAGAAAAATGCTTAATGACAGAACAACATATTCAATATGGTTGCATAAAAAAGCTTCAGTGAGTTAACAAATTTTGTTTCCAAAATCTGCTAGTCAAGTGTCACTAATCATCCTGTGCTAATACACAAGAGGCTGAATATCACAAATGTCACAAAGCAACAAAGACCAAAATTTGATGACATCTAAAATTCTTAAGGCCGACAAGAGATGAAATAAATTAATAAGCATCATATGCACAAATATCTGAACGAGTTACTAAAAACATTGTGATTTAAGGAACAGCATTATGTGGCTTTGTCAAAAAAGTTCCCACATCTTATACCACACTTCCCTTCCTTACCATTTCTCTCCAACCACAACAAAATTCAACCAGAAATACATAGCCTAGGGCATGCTGAACAATTTAGCACTGCTGAGACCCCAACTCTCAAATATTGATCAGTGCCGAGCAAGTAAACAACCAACATTCCATCTTTCTTGCACATATAATACCAACTAATCATAAAACAGTGTTTATTTGTTATCCATTCTAACCATGGGCAGCCTGACCTTAGCCTGAGAAAGTTGAGCCAGATCTTAAATAAACTCAATGGCCCAACAATTACAGGACGACCAAAATAATCATATTCTACATAAATGTCTTGACTTTTGTCTTTCAAAAGATTGTTTCTCTAATCCAGTTACTTTTCTCCATATGAATTACCGAAAAAAAAAAAGAGAAAAAAAATTCTTAAATTTAAAAGACACCTGGTATCATAGTTTTGATTCTTCAAGATGGAGAAACCACTAAATTAAACAAACATTAAAAAATGGTGCTAAGACTTACAGGTCGAAGGGTGATATTGAATTCATACTCTTCACCGTCCCTCAAAACTCTAACTACCGCTGTTTCGTTGGGTTTCTTCATAGAAACCAAATGGTCAAATGTTATCCGCTCTCTGTTTCGGAAAGGAACTGCATTGTGCACAAATCATGCTACAAATTAAGAACACAAGGGCAAAAAAAATATCTGAAAAACAAAAAACCCTCCACTCTGCCAAAAAAAGGAAAATCTCTCCGAAAGATCGTCACTGTTATCCAAACTTCTTAGGGTGACTTGGTAAGTTGGAGAAAGCTTTGTTTGCAATAGCCGATCATACATTGTGATTGTTTCACACACATGTATTGGCGGTGTAACTAGAAGTTGACAGTTGATTTCAAATTTAATGTCATTAATTCTTAATAATATCTCCACATTTGCATTGAAACGAGTCAATAAGATGTCATTCCTGGTCCGACACGAGCAACAACCACACAAGATTGTTTTATTACAGTTAAGGAATAACAAGTGACTACCTGTTCCATCATTTGCTATAGGCACTCCATCAAAAGCAAGGATAATATCATCTTTCTTCAAGACTTTATAGGCGTCTGAAAGAGGGTTAATTTTGCTCACCAATACCCCAGTCATTTCAGGGTGCATCCGAAAGTGGTTCCTCAGTTGAACATTTTCAATGGGCTGGCATGACAAACCCAGAGAGCAGAATCCAACATATTTTCCACTTTCTTCAACTCCAGCAATAAAATGCTTTATTACTGGAACAGGAATTATATAACTGAAAATTCCAAGAGATGAAGAAAATATATTTAGCCAAAGTTAACAACACTCTTAGAAGTAAATGCTTAAACTCGAGAGAAAGATGCTTGGTGATATATCACATAAATTTGTTTGCCTGTGGATTGGACTTGCGGTATTAAGTGTCAAATCACACCTTTGTTCTTGTTGAACCAGAAAGGTGGAAAAAATGAGTCTAATAGTGCAAGTATTCTAGAGCTTGTTGGATAAATTTTGATGATTCAAGACATAATCAGGGTAAAGTAAAAAACACGACAACAAAGTCAAACGCCACGCAAAGTATAAATGAATTCTTGACCGCAAACAAAGCACTCCCACAGGTAACTGATTAGTCAACATGTCTAGCCAACAAAAAGTAAATGAATATTGCAGGTAATGTCCTATAATCTAAACAAACTGAGCGATGACAATCTAAATTAAAATAAGACTTACCCAATATTTTCTGCACCAGAAAGGTTTTGAAAAGCTACACCAGCAACTTTATTGCCCATGATTGCTGGACCGCCACTATTCCCTGGATTTATTGCTGCATCAATCTGTATTGCC